GGGTGGAAAGCGGGGCTCGGGGGTCGCCCCCTCGGTGCCAGCGACCGGAAGGCTGCGAGGGAGGGCACGGCACGGCACGGCACGGCGGGTCGGGCTCGGGGGCGGCCAGCTCCATAGGGGCGATCGCTGTTAAACCATGATTGGCAGGAAACCCTGTGAATGGCAGCCCGTTTGTGCGGGGGGAGTGCAGGCCGTTGCTGCGGGGCGGTTAAATTTCCCCTCCCGGTCGGGGATGTGGGATGTTGAGTGTTGTTCCTGCACAGGCACACACCTCCGGATGCTTTTGTGCTCTGAAATCAACTTAACGTGGGTATTTCAAATGAAGGGAAGGATTCGGGCTTCTAATAGCCCATGGTCCATGTTTTTAATCTAATGTTATTTTATTGTTATTGTTGTTTTATTGTTCTTTTTCCACAGCAATGGAAGCGAGTCCCATCGTGACGTCCAAGCAGCGAGAGGAGGTGGTACACGGGGTCCCAACGGAGGTGGTGTGCACGGCGTTCTCCAACTCCGTCCTCGTGGTAGTCACGCAGTATGGCAAGATGGGGACAATCGTCTACGTGGACCCCAACACAGTTGGTGACAACGTGGGCAGGCCCTCACTCACCACAAAGGTGCTACTGGGCAAGGATGAGGTGAGAGCGGATGGATATACAGTGCACAGGCAGCAAGAATAAGGGGGAAATGTAGTAGGTGGGGCTGTGCAGGTTGCCAGGGAGTTGATGAATCACAGCAGTTAAAGCGGTGTTTGCACGGTGGTAAGATTAATTTAAAAATCTTCTGTGGGAAGAGGGGTGCATCAGAAAAGTGTGCGTGCTCATCTGCTCTTTGACATAACAAAAGTTTAACTGTGAGTGGTTTGGGGATCTGTTATTTTGCGTCCTACAGGATATGGATTGCTTCGCCTTGTTCATGGAAGGTGTGATGAAGCTCCTGTTGATTTAAGGGCTGCAAGATCAAACGTGCAGCCTTTGATAACCTTTTTTGGGTTTCTGTTCCAGTGAGTTTGTTTTCCTTTTCAAGTCCCTTTTCTCGCCCAATCCATCCCCCATCCCCGTCCCCCCCTATGCCAGCCCCGTAATGGACTTTAGTTGCCCTCTCCCAAGTGTGCCTGCCAGCACCTACCCTTGATAAAGTTTAATTTGTTTTGCTTCAGCAAAATGAGTTTTTATCGACCATTTCACAAAGCTGGAGAGAAAGCAGAAGAAAATGTATTTCGCAAAGCGTCAACTAGTCAAGCATTAAAAGAGAAAGTTACAGAGCTACAAGATTATGAGGCTTTCCATCAGGGTTGGAGCTATCAAATATTACTTGCTAACCTTAACTACAAAAACTCTAGCAACACAAGTTCCTGATTCTATCCGCGACTTCCCCTTGTGGGGTTCTCGTTCTTCAGCAATAGCCTTCCTTCTCTGGATGGGAGATGCTTTGCTTTCCCTGGTGTGATGTCTGTGAATTCTGACCACCTCCACCCCCAAGCTGTTTTTGTGTTTTATTTGGAAATGGGAAGTGCCTTTGTTTACTTTGTTACATACTATTTTTAAATCATTTTACCAGCTTAATCAACCTAAACTTTAAGAAAAGGCTTTCACTAGTTTGCTGCCTTCCTGCTTGTCACCGTCAACATCCCCGTTTGGGATGGTGCACACTTCCAAACCGGACTGGTAGCTAAAATCAAGCAAACTCACCCTTCTGATAAATACATAACTGGGTGTAAATAAAACCTAGACAAGCTGAATGGTTCAGAGCTGCACCAGGAGAGGTTTAGACTGGATATTAGGAAGCATTTCTTAACCGACGGGGTGGTCAAACACTGCAACAGGCTTCCTAGAGAGGTGGTCGATGCCCCAGGCCTGTCAGTGTTCAAGAGGCATTTGGACAATGCCCTTAATAACATGCTTTAGCTTGGTCAGCCCTGAATTGGTCAGGCAGTTGGACTAGATGATCGTTGTAGGTCCCTTCCAACTGAAATAGTCTATGCTATTCTATTCTAGTCTGTTGTTAAAGAAACCTCATTAAGAAGGTTATATCCCTTTTCTTCCCTCCTTCAGCCTCGCTACTTATTTCTGTTTTTCATTATTCTATTAAAATCAAAACCAACATGTCTTTTACACGTGGCATGCAAAAGCTGTGTATATAACACCATTTTGGGGTCTCTAGGAATTACAAAAATAACAGTTTTTTTCCAGAGCTTGCCAGCCAAACATACCCTCTTCAGCAACAAGTTTTTAAAAGAAAATTGCACTTGGAGACTTCAGAAAGCTGGCTATGATGGAAATAGAGGCATTTTGATCCATGGCATTTCATAAAATTTGATATTTGGTGACGTAGTTTGGGTGGGAGGATTAGCAGAAGGAAAGATTCTCTGTACCGACTTCCCAAGTTTTCCAAGCTGGTGCAAAACTCGATTCAAGTGCAGCTCCAGTTAAGTTGTTTCAGGGTGGTTTGGGTGCCTGTCACTCATGGGTCCGAACTCTTCCCTTTTAAGCTGAGAAAGTGCTTTCTAAAGTTCCCCGTACCGTGGCTTGGCTTTGCTGACCAGCCAAACTGCGTGTCTGTTCCCAGTCATGTTGGAACCGCTCAGCAAACTGCACACTCGGTCCGAGTCCAGTATCAACAGGTTCTCAGTGCGCTCCATGTCGCTGCAGAACTCTTCCTCTCCTAACTCGTGTGGGAGGTCTCTCCCAGCCGTAAGAGTGTACATCTGCATACCTTTGCTTTTCAGCCCCTCGTCCATGTTTGTGCCAAAAACCTGGTGGCATTCGTCTCTCGGGAAGCTGGGAACAAGCCCGTTCTTCTCGCCATGGCTTTAAAGGACAAGACCGTGGAAGGAATACAAGCTCTACGGGAAGTGATCCGAAGTTGCCAAGTGTGGTGAAGTTGTGCCATCTGGATTCAAGGAAATGATCTTGAGTCCATGACTCATCACCACTTATTTAAAAGGACAAGAAATGAAAATGATGGAATGTCTTTGTGCTGGTTTTGGACGTACTGAGGAATTTAATGAATTTTTCTCTACTGTGTAGAACGTTTATGGGTTTTGTTACTGTGACAGGTTTGCAGTCCATATAGTCAGTGATGAGACGAGAACAATTGTCTCAATGTATAAGAGAAGTATTATTTTTATCACATTGGGTGGGATGTATATTTGGGAAATGGCACAGCTCTGCGTTTGTGTCCTGAGGAGCGACAGATGCCAAACTCTGTAGCTACACTGTACCGCAAAAGGGGAACACCCAGTGCAGAGTGAATAAAAGAATCATTGACGAATCTAATTTTACCTGTTTTCTTTTTTGCTCTGTGAAAATCACTTCAATTGAAATACAAGCCTCGATAACACATCAACAGCAATTGCATAATAGGAAAGATTTTCTTGCCTGTTTTTAAGGAAATGAGTCCTATATGACTGCTTTTGTCCTTATGTCAGTCTCTTTCCTGATGTAATCTGAATCCATTTTCCACTTTCACTCCGATTTTAAAGAGAGGAAGATAATTATTCTCTGCAAATTTCATGAAAGCTGATGTCAGGGTGGAAGACAGGAACCCAAATTAGAGGTGAGAAAAAGACAAAATAACAGCTGCTTATGGATTACATGGTGCCAGCACATCGGAGAGGCAGCACATCCATAGCTTGGACCACCTGCAACGAGCTGTCCCTCTCCTAAGGCACCTGTCGGAGGAGACATGGGGTCAGAAGGGTGGGGGGGGTTACACAGGGGTGTTAGAACTTCTGAGTCTGTTGAAAAAAAAGTGTTGGGTGAAGTTATATGAGCTGATGCAATGCTTAATAGCCGAACTTTTGCCATTTGCTTGGAAAGCACGTTTGTGTTTACCTCTTCTTGTAACAAATAACACCAAGTAGTAAATTTTTAAGTGAGCTGTTACACACTTCTGTCACTTATGAACTTGACCGAGCAGACAGAGGACAGGTCTTGGATTCTGGGCAGGGAAGACTTGTGCTGTGTTAAGACCTGCTGGTATCAGCAGTATCAGCACAGAGCCTGTGCCTGCCCCACGTAGATCCAGTTGCTGGGTCATTTCTGTTGCTAAAAAAATCCTCTAAAAGTAGAAAAGCAGAAAATGCATTTCGAAAGGACTCTTTTTCTCTGAAGTAAGGGTTATTTACAGTATTTAAGGGATTATGAGAAATTAAACCTTTTTTTTTAAAGTACATCCAAACACTGCAGGCTTTCAGCTGCCTTTGACAAGAAATTTTGTCTAAAAATAATTTCCTGAACTGTGCTTCCAAGAACCAAAGACTTGCATCTGTCAGAACTCCAAATTTTCCCTCTTTTACACTCTTTTTTTTTTTTGTCTAGGAGGGCTGAGAGAGGCATGTGGAATTTGTTAATGTCAATCCTGGTTTGCTAGTAGGGATTCTTTCCCGACGCAAAATTCAATGTATTTCCCAAATCCTGGTGCTCTTACGGTGTCCGTAGCTCTAGCAACCTGTGGAAACCATACATTAATTAGCAAATTGAATGTAAACCACATCTTCCACCATGGTGATAAGGTGGCATACCACCGCTATGTCCCAAAGACCTGAGTGTTGCTACCTAAAAGCCAACCACGAGTTAACCACCTTAATTTCCTGGCTCTGTGTGCCACCAGGTCTGCACAGGGTGGCAGGTAAAGAAAGGACGCGGAGCTCTCTCCCGTTTGATGCTCAGAGCCAGGGCAGACTTATCGTGTTGCCTTTCCACGGGTGATAAATTAGACCACAAGCAATTGGTCCTTCGACTTTGCTCCTCTCTGCTTGCAGTAAACCAGGGGGAAGGCCTGCCCCAAAATACATTCACAAGTCTGCCGGTGCAACCAGCTGCCTGCCGTTTAGTCATCGCTATCCTCCAGGTAAGGATTAATTCCCAACGGCAAGAAAACCTGCCTCTGCCACCCAAGCAGAGCTCTCGCCCACGGCCACGGGACGTGCGCCGGGCTGGGGGCAGCGGCGGCGGGCTGCACCGTGGCTTTCCATCCGTGTTTGCTTTCCGGGCGTGGGTGCCGAGCGCGGCAGACTGGAAAGGTAAGTTTGGTAGCTTCTCTGCAGGAGGCAGAGCCCGAGCTGGCGCTCCAGCTCCTGCAGGGCCCGGGGTGCAGCGAGGGTGAGTGGGGCGCTGGCAGGGCCTGCTGCCAGCGGGCGGGCAGGGCTGGGAGGGTGCCCGGAGGAGGAGTCTCCCGCGGGTGCAGGTGGAGGAGGGCGCAGGGGATGTGGAGGCAGGTGCACGGCAGCCAGACCCGCTCCCGGAGGAGCCCCGCAGGGTGAGTGGGGCCCTGGGGGGTGCACAGCAACTGGGGGCACCCCCCCCACACGGAGCGGAGGTTGCCCCGGCCATCGGTCCTGAGCACCCGTGGGAGCTGCTGGGAGGGCAGAGCCTGCTGCAAGAGCCCTGTGTGTGCGTCACTCACTCCTCCGGACAGGCTTTAAGGAGGGCTCGATGCTGCCCTGCCTGAATTTATAGCTATGTGCTATAGGTCCTTCCTCCTGGGTGGCCTGGGGGTGGTATGGAGGGGCTGGTCGGGCAAATAACCCCCGTGCCCTGGCTTTATCTGAAAGCAATGAGGAGGAAAGGCATGTCTCCTGCGCTGGTGGGGCTGAGCCTGGATGCTCCCCTCCTCAGGATGGGGGTCAGGGATCTCTCCCCCTTTACCGGCGCGCACACAGCACTGCACAGAGGCACTGGTGGGGGGCTGCGGGGGCTCACCTTTCCTTTCTGACTGCCCCCGTC